AACTTTACATTTCTGTTTTCTGACAGAGGCCTTAATCTACCTGAAGTATTTACAGTGTGGTAGTTCTCAGGAGAACACAGGATTTGGCTCAAATGAATAACATTTCCATCTAATAAAACTTTTGGTTGGGCCAGGAAAACATAATCACACACGGCTTCTCCCTTTGAGCAAAACATTTCCTGAAGGATGATGGCCTCTCTGCTTCTCACGTGCCTTCTGGCGAGGCCCTAGAAGCAATAACTCTGCCTGGCAGGGGAAGCCCCACGTTGGGCTTCCAAACACTGGCTTGGCCCTTGTTCGGTGCGCTGCACCACACTGAGAGTCTACCTTAAGGTGGCCTCTAAATGCTTTCTGTTCCCAGTCTTGTCTGTGCGTAGTCATTCCCCATCTCTTCTAGACCTGGGAACTTTGCACAGGTGAAGACTGATTAGACTTTTTATCTCTGAACTTGGTATCCTAGGTATCTCTTGGGTGGTCAGAGCTGGGAAAGTTGGGTGAGCTATCACATAAAAGTTCCAAATGGGAAGAGGTCAACTGACCTTCAGAATCTTCATGTTGATAGTCTCTATCTGAGATATCCAGTACAGCAGGTACTAGCCACACAGAGGTACTGAGTATCTGAGATGTGGCTGGTGAAGTTGAGAAACTGAGTTGTGAATGCATTTACACCTAAGTTTAAATAACCACATAGGGCTAATGGCTGTCTTATGAGACAATGTAGTCCGAGAGAGAGCGATACAATTTTACAATGTTACTTTTCACGAGCAGTTGCTTTTCATTTTGGAATAGTTCCAAGTACTTCTATTTGCTTACTGGGTCAAAGATAACGCAAAGGCTATGTCAACGTCTCCCATGTTTTCCTCACTCAGCAGAGAGGATGGCAAAAGGGCACATCTAATGTGACGGTTGGAGAGCCAGTCTTTTGCACATTAAAACAAAAACAAAACCAGTAAGGCCTCTTTTGTTTTCTTTGATTTCAACTACTTATTCTCAGAAATTAAGAAACATTAAGCAAGGTACTGAGATGCAGCTCTGTAGCAAAGCATTAGCCTGGCATGTGCGAGGCTCTACTGCAATCGGTATACACGCACACATGCACGCATGCATGCATGCACACACAAACGAGCACACACACAGAAAAAAACCTGCAAATTTCCTATAGAAACACCTGTGGGAAGAGCTGGCATTCAATTTGGGAGAAGCAGGTTTTTGAAAGCACATGCTCTCTGCGCCTATCTGTAAGGAGCTGCACCATATCCACACCCCGTGACTCAGCGGATCTCAAGCTCTGTCCACCAGCACAGTTCGGAGGAATTTGTTGATACAGGTTCCCAGGTCCCACTATACCTTGAGAACCCTTTGTGTTCTGTAAGGAGGCAGAACATCCAGGTTCTATAGAGTCCAAAAAAGTATAACAGTTCTGACTGGGAGAAGCTGATCATGAAATCTTTAACCACAAGTGAGAGACCACCTGCTTTGTCTCAGCCACTCAAAGAAGGGCTAAGCTTCCCACAGTGTCTGATCTCCAATGAACTGTCTGTGAGGACTGTCATTGTAGATTTTTAGGGAGAAAAAAAGTTGATATTTTACCTCCAGTGCGTTGAGCTCAGACCACGTGATATTGGGCACGGAGGTGACAGGTGTGAAGAGTTTACTTGGAAAGAATGCATTATAATGTCCTGTGGCTGCCATGTACATCGTCAACGCCATGTTGAAAGGGAGAGTGAAGACAGGGAGGTCCCATTTGCTGAACACCGAGTTCAATGCACTTGAGAAAACTGGGCTGAAGGAACACAGCAGAAGAATGAGAATCAGTGACAAGCAGCCAGGCTGAGCCTCCAGATGCTAACATGCTCTGAAGTATTGTGTTGACAAACCTTCCACAGGCGTTAGGGGTGTGATTGGAGGGGGGCGTGGCCTGGGCCCAATCCTATCTCAAAGACAACAACTCTAAAACACACCACAAAATGAACTCTTGGTTGACTTTTGAAAAAGAAAATATCCCGAGGTGGCTCAGAGTGAGCTCTAATCAAGGTTTTCAAAAACAAGCTTGGGTGCTCTTAATAAAGAGAAATCTTCTCTGCATAGTTAGTGCCCTGTGATCCTGGGGTCCGTCCTCCACACCAGAGTCACCACCATCCTGAATTTGGAAGATAGCACTCTGCATGTCTTCTCTATAGGTATCTATTTTGGAGAAAAGACTAAGGATTTGGGTGGTTGGGGCTGGAAAAACAGGTCTTACAGGAGTGGACAGAGTGTCTGTCCTTGAGCTACAGGTAAACTTGAGACTTCACAAAGAGTCGCTTCCTTGTTCCATGATGGGCAAACTTAGGCTTGCTTTTACAGGGGTCAAAGATGAGATATCCTGCCTATCAGATATTTACATTACGATTCATAATGGTAGCAAAATTACAGTTATGAAGTAGCAATGAGACAATCTTACGGTTGGGGGGTCACTGCACTATGAGGAACTGTACTGAGGATGACAGCATTAGGAAGCCTGAGAACCACTGGTGTAGACAGTTCCCTGGATCCTTGTGTCAGTCTCAATTGTTAACACAATGGAGAAGCATCCTTGGAAGATCAGAACTGATCTCCTACTTGGAGAGTGTAGATCACCAGATGGCCATGGTTCCTGTCCTTGAGAAAATCCTTCAGAGCAGCTCCTTGGGGAGGCTGGCACTATGGACAGGGCCTCCACGCACCTATGGGTGCCACCAGGGTGGAGCCCTCCTGCAGGCGGTGCCCAGAGTGGGCTCCTTGAGCTTCCTTTGTGAGTATATCAGCACTTTATACTTTAGATACGATATAGAAAGATGGATTTGTTTCTAGAAAATAGAATTAAGATGATGTCGGCACAGACGCTGGTTTTAAAGATTCTGGTTTTGTGAAGATGGGATTGAATTTAGAAAGAAAAAAAAAAGGAGGTGGGCAGCTCGGCTAAGTCCTCAGGTGACTCCACTGATGGGGGTGGGCACCTTTGGCTATACTTTAGAACCACCTGGGGGGTTTTAAAAACCTCAACATACAGGCAACAGCACAGAGCAGTTGTGTGTGCTCAGTGTGTAGTTGAGGTTGAGAATGTCTGGATGAAGGGGCATGCAGCTGACTTTGACATAAGGACAAATAACAAGTGGTAAGAAAATCCGCACCTCTTAAGGTGGTTGCTTTAGTTTCTATAACCTCGTTTTAATTCTTTGAAGTATTTTTTTTAATTTGTGGCAAAAGATACATAAAATTACCATTTATTATTATGTTGTGCCCCCCCCCCCCCCAGACAGCCTCTCTAGACAGATCAGCCTGGAACTCATTCTAAGCCCAGGCTGACCTTACACTCATAGCAACTCTCTTTACTTAGCCTCCAAACTTCAGGGGTAGTAGATATGCGCTACCCTAGCTGGCACCACCGAACTATTTTCGTTTCATTTTACATGTAATTTGTGTTTGTGGGGTGGGTGTGCATGTGTGGAGGTCAAAGAAAAACCTGGGAGTCAGTTCTCTTCTACCATGTGGGTTCCCGGGATTAAACTCAGATTGCTATCCTTGGCTACAAGTGTCTTTATGGGATAAACCAACTTGCTGGTCCCATTTAACTATTTAAAGTGAGAAGTCCAATAAAATGGTGTTAACAGCTACTGTTGACTCACAGAGTACTTTTCACCTTACAAAGGCGGGCTCATTAAACACCAAACCTTCATTCCCTCTACCCTCCACGGGCACTTTGACAATCAGGTACAACTTACCAAGTCATAGACATAACAGATACAGGGAGTATCAGCCACCAGTAATAGTCGCCTTTGTCTGAGAAGACCGCCATGAGCATTCCCACAAGGGTGGCGTTGTAGCCCTGGAGCCCAGCTGCTATTGCTGACCTATAGGTATGCGGAACAGCACAGACATAGCCTGAGTGGACTTCATTAGGACTAAACATAAGCAACAGCTGTAACTTATAGATCGCATACACTTTAGAAAACATAATCATACCTGGGCATGTGTTTCAAAGCCTTTTATGGACCATGCAGATACAACTAAATTGTGCAGGGAAATCTACACAGATAAAACTCTGAAATGTGTACATGAAACAATGGCCTCCAGGGTATGTCACAGACCTCAGGAAGGATAGTAGCTGCTGAAGGAGAGGGGCCTGGGAAGGCAGTCTGCTTTTGCTCAGCCTTTCCTGAGAAAATTCTTATTTCTTTTAAATCACCGAGGACCTCAGGGCTTTTAGCATTTCAAACAGTCTTAAGTCTTATTTCTCAGTGAGAGACATTTGATTCCTGGAAGGCAGGTCCTTTCATAGTGCCTTCAGAAACATCCAACTTCAACTTAGAGGACATTTTTGTGTTCTCGTGATTCTACTTTGTGGACTCTAAGTGTCCATCTTCAGGTTATTGAATAGAAAAATGACTGTTTCTACTTGCCAAGGCACCTATTTAATTATGTGCATGCTTAGCTCCTCTTGTTGAAACCTCTTTGTGATGGTTAAGTATTCAGTCTGTCTCCTCAATTCCTCTAGAGAACCCTGACTAACGCACCCAATCTGTGTTTGGCATTTAACGCCACTTTCAAAGACTGTCTTATATGTCAGCTTCTACTCTGGCTGTGATGGAATCTAGGTCATAATCAGGAAGCAGAAGCTGCAAGGAAGCAATGGGAATATTTCTGTAGAGTAAGCCCCTAGTCTGGCAAGTTCCCCTTTTTCAGACTCTGAGAGTTGGAGATGTACAGCATCATGAAGGACAACAGGGTCCATTTCTGGCCTGATGCTCATGGGGACCTAGGAGGTAAAGGTGGTGGAGTTAGGTCAAATGCAGGGCTTCCCTGTGGGGAGGGGCTACAGCCAGAGAGCTACGTCGCTGCTGACGTGAGAGTTTTCGGTTTTTATCTGACTGTGCACAGAGGTGCCAGTACAACCCAATAAGCTGATGCCATATCTATTCATTGAGGTGAGGACATCAGAAGTTGGACTCTAATTTTCAATGTCCTTTGTCTTTCTTCAGGAATCCTCCAGAACTTGGAGTTATGCATGAGGATGGTGGAGAGCTCTGTAGACTGGACTCCCTCAGTGTTGGTCAGTGGACAACGATGACAACATCTCCAAGTCAAGAGATGCTACCGTGCCAGCCCCAGGAAGATTCAGTCACTTCAATGGAACTGTCGTTTTGATTTTTTTTTTTAGTACTAAGAAAAGTAAAAGAAACTTGAGAAGTAACACATGTAAATATAAAAATATGACTTATCTTCTAAATAATAAATTACCAAGGAAATGAGGGTGCCCCCCCACTCCTCAGCCCCAGGGATGAAATGCAGGGACTTGTATATGCTAAACAAGTGCTCTACCATTGGACAGCACACCTAGCCCAGAATCATGTTTCGGTGCAGCAAAAACACTGAGGGACTAATCCTGGGATGTGTGGCTTTCCCTCAGCCCAGGAGCTGAGCTGGCTTGTGCATTGCCCATGAAAGGAGATAACTATGTTAAACTGGTGATGGACACAAGACATAAAGGGGACTGTTAAACCACTGTCTTTTCGAGAACTCAGGAGCATTTTGCTTAAAGTTGCAATAAATAATTGTATCACTAAAGGAGACTTCAGTAGGCTCTTTCCTGGTGGTAGATGAGTTCTAGCTATCATACACAGCTGGTAATACTCAGATTGGTCCCTTGTTCAGAGGAGAAGAATAAAAGACTATCCGTGATCCTCCGGCCTCTGACGAAAGAATAAACAGAGAGTTCTGTGGAATGAAGGTTTTCTGTTTTTTTTTTTTTTTAACCTGGGAGGGTGTGGCTTTATTAGGGCTGCCCATGGCAGCTGCCGAGCTAGTGGCTCAGAAAGAGAGGGAGCTGGCATATGAGGGCTCGCTTACCTGTCTTGGCTCAGCAAGAGGGCTGTCAGAGTGGAGACCACAGTTCCCACACAGCCACAGAGAGCCCACCAGGGGTTCTGGACCAGAAATCCAGTCAGAATCAGGATTCCACTGATGGGGTTGCTGACGAACACCACCTGGGATATGCCACGAAGAATCCAGTCAATGAACTGGAGCACCACGGGCTTGTCTGGAGAAGCCAGATGAGCAGAGGTAAAGAAGAGGCAAGGTAACCCCAAGGTCTACCCTGAACAAAGCCACCAGAATCTGTGGGAGCTGAAATTTTCAGATATTTTTTTAAAGCCTTCCTTGGACCCTTGGTTTTTTTTTATAATCAGTCCACCCTGTCCCTACTGGAATCCAAGCTTCAGAAAGCAGCTCTGGCTCCCCTTGGCCATGCTCAGAGGTACAGACTAAGCCAAAGGAATACATTATCAGGAGGAAGATTGTCTTTGTGAAGTACTGAGATTGTAGGTTAAAGACACCCCACTATTTCCATGAAAAAAAAAATGTGAAAAGGCTTGCAGGTTAGAAGAGGCAAAACTAGAAAGCGATGCCTGGGGAACAGCGCTAAAAACATAGGCAGAAACACAGGCAAAGGATTTCCTCAAAGCTGTTTCTCCCTTCTCTCCAAGGAATGGATGTTCACATACCTTTAAGCCAGTTGGCAAACTCTTTCATATCACCAGTGACATAGCCAAGTACTTTGAAGCCACACCGTCTCCCCCGACACGATGACACCTGGTTTTCACCCCGGTCTACTTTAACCATGGTGGGACTGTCTTCCATGGCCATCTCTTCCTCGGGCTCCTTGAAGGAAGGACAGAGTTTGTGAGCATCCTGAAGGAGAACTCTGTGGGTTGGCGAACTTAGGCTGTACAGTTGCCATAGAAGATGAGTTGGGAGGCATTCGCCTAGACCAAGGCAATGTCATGGCTCTGAGAATTTGCTCTTTCCTTCTGAAGTATCATTGAGGAACTCATTATCCAAACCCAAACATCAACCTTTGTTCCTTGATGTCTTTAATGCTACCATGAGAAGGTTCTTGTCTGTACCCTCAGAAAACTCCGTGTCTGGCTTAACTAGTATTTGTTGAACCCCCATTTCCTGCACTCAGGGGACTCAGTGTTGTTGAGAAGGAAAAAAAAAATAATGTCAACAGAATAAATCAAAGAATACAGAAAGAGCTAAAATAAGTCACTTTGAAATGTGCATTTTTCTTTTTTAAAAAATAGCAATTATAATCAGGAGTGGTAATGCACACCTCTAAGACCAGCACTTGAGAGTTGGAGGCAGGAGGATCAGGAGTTCAAAGCCAGCCTCAGCAACATAATGGTTCAAGTGCAGGCTGGGTACATGAGATTCTGTCCCAGAAAAACAAAGCACCAACATATAGAACACCCAAACTACTAATTTTATTTAAGAATTCTTTGAAAAAGAAAAAAATTAAAACAGTCTGTGTTTGTTGACACAGCTTTGACCCCAGTCTCCAAGAATAAGATTGCTTGAATGCATTCGTATGTCATGAAGTTGCCTCTGATACTCTGTAGTTTGGAATCTGTCATATAAATGCATCAAAAAAGCAAGACAGATGCACCACAAAAGGTGTAGGACAATTGTTCTCAACCCATGGGTCGAGACCCCCCTTGGTGGAATGAACTACTCTTTCTCAGGGGTTTGCCTAAGACCATCGGAAAACACAGACATTTACATTATGATTTATCACAGTAGCAAAATTACAGTTATGAAGTAGCAATGAAAATAATTTTATGATTGGGGGCCACCACAACATAAGGAATTGAATTAAAGGGTCACAGCTCTGGGAAGGTTGAGAACCACTGGGAACTTCGAAAGGTGAAAATGGACAACACTGTCGAAAGCCAGAGATTGTGATGTGGAGATTGCACAATACCAGGATGCCCAGGCTTTTATTATAGTCAGAAAGTCTCGTTGGAATGCAAACACTAGAAGCCTAGGGTGTGTTGACTACATGGCTGTCTAATTCTCATGGTAAGTATATAACAAGAGAAAACCAACATCATTGAATTTGGTACCCTGCAGACACAGCAGGAAGTGAGGACTACCAACGATAAAGCCCCAGAGGTAGACCCTGGGACAAGGACAACAGCCAAGTCCCCCTGGTTGTATGAAAACAGCACAGAGCAGACGGGTAAGTAGGAAGTGGGGCAGCTCCATCGTCAGCCTTAAAAGGCTTCAGTGGAGAATGTGTGGAAGCCTCAGCCACAGAAGGCAAGACCAAGGGAATGCCCAAAGCTGCACAGATCAGCCATCCCATCTTTCCTCACGGCAAGGCATGGACAGAGTTCCTCTGGCTCATTCTGGTCCCATCACCGTTCTATTTACTACCTTCACCAGCTAGCCATTGACAGCTAATACAATTATATCTTTTTAAAAAATCTAGACTTAGTTTTGACTTACACGAATCCCAGTACAGAAAACAACGTTTTATTACTGATTTATTGCTGTGTAACAATTTTACTTCTCACTATCGCTTAAGCTGGCCTTGAACTCGCTATGATCCTCCTGCCTCTGCCCCCCCCTCTACCCCCAAGTGCTGGGATAACAGGTATGTTCCACCGTGCCTGGCTATCTTCCTGTTTTTTAAACAATGGTACACCATTAATCATCACACAAGGTTGGAGCTATTTCTGCAATTCATTCCAGACCAAGGTCATTCTGCCTTGTCAACGTTCAATCTGACACCAACATTTGTGAGTCTATCGGTGAACCTTTGTATTGGGAATTTTTTACACTGAAAACTGCTGGAGTCGCAGAACCTAAACTAAGTCCGTATAACCCAGCTGTCTCTGCTCTATACTTCAAATCCACAAATCCGTGCAAGTAACCCAGCATTTGTGAAAAAGTATCTTATATTTCATAATCTAAGCAATGGCTATCACTTATTTCAGACCTCTCCCTCTTTAAATCTCATAACTGAAAATATTGTGTGGTTGGACCCTTCCTCAGAGACAGTGACCCATTTTCAAAATCATACTAAGTTACAAGAGGCTCCAGTCTTGGCCATGACAAGAAGCCCAAAGGACAATTGTCCTGAGTTGCTGGAACCGAATGTGTCAAGCCCCGAAAGTGGCAGTTTCCATCCGCCACAGAAACCAACTCCAGAGTACACAAGTGCATGCTCTCAAAACTTCCAGCCTATATTTATTTTAGAGAGTTTCGAATACCATATCACCCCAGAGATTCGAAACCTGATAGTATAACTGGCCAGACGTGACTGGGAACCTGAATGGCCTGTGTCCTCTGCAGAACCACCCTAAGTTAAGACTGAACTATTTCTGTCCAAATCCACACCTCCACCAAAAGCTGTGTCTCCAATAGCTATTTGTTGGGATGCACTGGAGGACGGTAACATCATTCCCCACCATTCCTTACCTCAGAGAAGGACCCATCCTGACTGAGCAGACAGTGGCTACATCTGAACTGCTAGTCTTCCCTTAGGGCCTGGGGTCCCTGACACCTGTTCCAGAGCTCCAGCATGAGAGCTGGTTAGGAAAAATCAGTAGTTTAAATCTAGTTCACTCTAGATTGCTATCATGCTAGAAAATCTGTGTCTCTTTTGGGAACTTGGATGAAGAGAGAAGCGTTCTAGCTGATGCTCACACACTACATTCCATGGAGAGGAGAGGACAATGAATCTAACCCAAGCAGGAGAGTCATAAAGCTCCAGGCTGTGCTTTCCTGGGTCTTCCAAGGCTGTTCAAGTGCCCTAGCTCAGTGGTCCAGCTTCTAAGCCTGTCGGGGTAGCTAGGCCACAGCAGCATGCTCAGCAGAGCTTGCTGACCACCCCATGCCCCAGCCTGAGCTCAGAAAAGATACCAAGCTAGGAACAGGCTCTCGGGGTCCCCAAGGAACAAGCTGCTGGAAGGGAGCCTACCTGTTCTTGCCACCTGTGTGCCAGGGTCAAGCTTAGCCGTCTGAAGCCTCCTGGTGCTGCCTCACTGGCTTTATTTCCAAAAGGGTCTATCCAAAGAGGACCGTGATGGGCGTCATCAGTGCCACCAATCAAAGACTGTCCACTCATCCTTCCTTTTTCATACACGACAAAGGGCAAAGAGATGTGAATCAGCAGGATGTGTCCTGGCTCTGGGGAGCACAGGAAAAGCCAGACTTGGGGAGTTGGACAGGCCCGTGTGAGTTTCTGCTGAGGGGAAATATTCTCTGCCCTGGCCCCCTGGAGCAGAGGTCCCCACTCATGGGAGGGAGGAAAGAGGACACACTGACTGTGGAGATGAGACTCGTTTTACTTTAAGAAACGGTAGCAAACCATGCTGAAGAGAGCAGGAAAGAGAGTGGGTCTCCTGCTCTGTTTCTGACTTGCAGGAGGGTAGCCCATCTGAGACCTGCTGCAGAGAGGGAGGGTGGCCCATCTGAGACCTGCTGCAGAGAGGGAGGGTGGCCCATCTGAGACCTGCTGCAGAGAGGGAGGGTGGCTTCAGGCTCCAGAGTGCTGGGGGAAGCCGTTATGCTCTGTGTTGGGGACCAGCTCTGAGGCAAGCAGTGTCTCAGCCTTGTTCCGTATGAAACAGGAGAAAAAGAGAGCTCCTGGGTTCTGCTTCCTGCAATAAAACACTAGCCACACTTCCCATGCACAGCAAGAGCTCGTTCTAAAATACTGATAAATGCCATTTCCCTTACAATCTGAGTAATAATTACTAAATATCGATCACCTGTCTATTAACAAGGAACAATCCTTGTTAAATTTAACAGGCATGTCAGATTTCAATAATTTCCTCTTTCTCCCCTCCCTTCCCTCTCTTTCTCCCCTCCCTTCCCTCTCTTTCTCCCCTCCCTTCCCTCTCTTTCTCCCCTCCCTTCCCTCTCTTTCTCCCCTCCCTTCC